AACTGTTGTATAAACGCAATATCACTCTCGTACTCGAGCGATACCGGTTCTATATCAGCGGCTGTGATTGCCTCGTGCCTCTGGCCTAATCACAGCCATGCTGATATAGAGCCAGTATCGCTCTCGTACTCGATTGATATTGCTCATATGTACTGTCTATAATAAAATTAAACCTAAAAGGGGGCTAGGGTTTTTCCTGTAAATTATATTCTTCTATAAAGGACAAAAGATTTAGGCTATTGCATTTTTCTTTTTCATCACTTTGAGGGCTTTTGTATAAGAAATAAGCTCATTAAAATGCACAAAACATTGGTTTCACTTTCAAGTACTTAGATTTGTGTATATAAAATTTTCCCAGCAGAAGTATGTTGTTAACAAGGAAGTCATCTTTGTTATTGTGTGTTCGGGGAGGACTTTATAGACCACATATCAGCGTGATCTTGCGTTATGTCCCTTCTCGCATGCGTTTGGTTGTGAAACGTAGTTTGCGGACCAGACAGAGTTGTCGGCGATTCTTCCTATTGTAAGTCATGCGGTGTGTAACCTCCTGTCACCGATCCATCATGCAATGTGAACGCAGCAGCAACTGAATGATACCCCTGATAGTCGTGCAGTGTGAAAACAACGGTGATCTTTGAAAATGATGCAGTGTGAACTCTGCATTAGCTGTTTTGGATGGCTAGGATGATTTACTTATATTTTGTAGATATGTTACCAGTTCTACATCAATGATACGTCTCAGTTCAGCATGCGTTATTGTAGATAACATGAGCAAGCTCACAATAGAAGCAGTATAATAAATTATGCTTGATGTCGTAGCAGGAACTTAAAAATAAACCTCGCTGGGTTGAATTGTTTTCAAGTCATGGTGGGCAACATATTTAGCCTTACCGCTGGTGCCATTGATCTCTGGGGCAGTTGACAGATGGTCCCCCTCTCTTTTCCTGTCTCCCCTTCCCTCTCCCTCTTTCTGTTACCGGGGGACTTCAAAGGAGAATAATAGGGGTGTCACACTCTTTGAGAAGGTCAGTGACTCAGAATGAGACGGCACCGACACATGAACATTGTGTGTTTTGTTTTTATTTAAGAATACATGAATAGTGCGGTGACTTATTAGCTATTTACTTTTGCACTGCAGGATTAGTCAGCTATGTTACCGTGCATGGTACTTTAACGCATATTTAACACAAGTGATGATTTGAGCATGATTATTAACAATCTGCCACTGAGCAATAGCCTAGCTTTTTTAATGTTAGGGTGGCCAGAGAGATGTGGTGTGAAGTGAATCCATTGAGTTGAGATATGAGTAAATGGAATTCAGTCTATACTCATTTCCTCTCCTTCCCTGGAGCTTATTTTGACCTTGCCGCATGGCACCTGCTGAGGGGTAGGGGTGGGCAGAATTGAAAAAAAAATGGTCTTATATTGTACGGATGATCTGGATTTGATATTCTTTTCAACCTCTTGACCGCCGTACATTACTGTTGATTCCTTTAGCTTGTGCCGCCCATCGGTGTTAGCTGTGCAGGCAAAGGTTTTCAAAGCTTCCCTCCATGGTTTGAAACGCTGTGTTATGCATGTGTGACTGAATGCATTAGGACAGCTTGTCCCCTTCCTCTGCTTTTGACCCCACAACACAAACTCAATTACACAAGACTCTGTTCCTCCAGTCAGTGCTGTTGTGACACTGGTTGTTATGAGTGATTGTTCCATGAATATAAAGTACTGCCCAATGCAAAATGTTTGTTCTTTCTGTTTTACTTTTGATATTTTTACCATTTGAATGATAACTATAGTCAGAGACGAGACTGGAAATGATAGAGAGAAGGTTGGGGGAATCAGTATAACTGGCAAGTCAAGCCATATCTTTATAATTATACAAATTAGATCTCCACTTGGTAATAAAGAAACATTCTGCTTAAGAGTTTAGACACCTTTGGTATCAGACAGTGACAGTTGAGAGCCACCAGCAGAGGGTTAAGAGAATCACTACTTAGATCAGATGGAAAACCCCAACGTGTCTTCTAAATACTTAAGGAACTTGACCGATGCTTCGTACTTGTGTTGATAAGAGCTTTATCAAACCAAATATCCAATCGCGTGCACTAAAACTCCTAAATAAATAAAACCACAGCTTTTGGATTTAAGGATTAATTAAGCATGAAGATAATGACAATTTAAGTGCCACATTCAGTAATGTTTGTAGTTTAGTTTAAAATAGTGCAGTAAAAAGTTACTGATATTTCTTTCTTTCTTTCTTTGTGATGAATGAAATCAAGCCCCGCCTTCTTTTATTTTCATTGAATATTCATTTTCTTTTGGACACAAAATAATGATCTTTAAAATAGCATTATATGACCCCTTTAAATTACAGAGTTTATTTTTTTTTTTTTTATCTTGTTATTATTTTTTAATCCACGCTATAGTGGAACAAACATAAAATGAGGTCTGGTGAAGTAAATTAGATTTTTTGAGAAACTGGTGCTCAGTGTCTTATTCTGCTGTTGAAGGGTGTGCCTCAGAGCTGGGAGCCTCCTTACCAGAGGCACTTTACTGCTATCTTTGTCATCATCATCATCATTTCCACCTCCGTCTGGCTTGAGCTTGCTGGTTGGTCTGGGTTAGTAGTGCAATAGATGCACTGAACATGATTTCTGCTGACAGTTGGATTCAGGGTGAGGTTACTGTGCTTGTATTGATCTACAAAAAAAGAAAAGAAAAGTAGAATGTGGTGATAACGATACAATAAGACAATACATTTATCTCAAATTCACGTTAATACTGCAGTCAATACAATCCATTTCCTCTGGAATAAGGCATAATGACCTGGAAGCATTTTGTAAGTCATGGCACAGGATTTCCTTATTTCCTGTATTTGATATTGTTGGGTTATGCGTGATAAATGTGTGTGTCCGCATTAAATTGCCTGTAGAATTGAGCATGGGGCAGTTAGAGAAATGATAATGTGCAGGAAATGGTTTTATGAATTCAAGCAGCCCCTTTTAAATGGAAACCATCTCTAAAATGCAGTGGTTTTGCTGTGTATATTATGTTTGCCTGAGCTTGACAAGCCAGGAAATTGTCGCAAGGGTTAAAGTCGACCTGATTGACATCTCGTCATGCTGCAGGCCTTCTTTTCACAGCTTGCATGATTTCATTTCAACCAGGTCTGGTTGTGTAAGAGCAGATCTCAAGGGAAGCCACACAAACACACATACTGTATAAAGACATACATACAGCCATGCATACAGCCATGCAGGCCATCATTAGTTCTTTACTCCCAAACCTAGTGACCTGAGTACGTTTTGGTTCATCCACCTCTGTTAACATGGAAACATGCACAACCCTACTGCCTCCATTTTGTGAGCACTGAGACGATGACTTGTGTGCTGTTTTGACGGCCAACAGATTCGTAATGTGATTACTGTCATGACCAACATCTCCATGCCTCAGCATGCTGTGTGTGACTAATGCAATCTAAGTCCTAATCGAATTTCTGCATGTCTGCAAAACGGAGAAGCGGAAGGAACGCGCTCATTTATGCAAGCATGCAACATGGAAATAATGTCAATGTATCTCTTAAAACATCCAGAAATATTACGAAATGTATATTGTTTATGTCCTTATGTCTGCAGTTTCAGCCTGTTAAGCACAATTTTAGTCGTCAACAAACATGTGCTTGAAAGCAGCCCTATATTTAAGCATGTTGTAAAATAACTCTCAAAAGAGCAATACTTTCCAGTGTATTTCCATGTCCAATGGTCAACTCTTGGATGCATGCACATATTTAGCCTGTTTTATGTCAGTTAAGTGAGAGCTGCTTTGTGGGTCTTCCTCAAATGTCCAGTTTATGTGCAG